AGTGTCCAAGGCCAGGTTGGAGCAATCTGGGCTAGTGGAAGGTGTCCCTGCCCATGGCAGGGGGTGGGATGGGATGTTCCATTCTGGAATTTTGTGATTCTTCTGTATTTTAAACAGCACACAATATAATGAATTCCAGAAAAGGAGACAACACCCACCCCCACCCCCCAATTATATTCTTTGCTTTATTTTTATTATTATTTTTTCCCAGGGGGCAACTGCAACACTGTCCTGGTGACCAACATCTGTGGGGAAGCTGCTCATGTGGAAGAGACAGTGAGTTGAAGGGATTCCTGCAGGATCCAAGCCTTGTTCCTGCTGCTCCTGGGTTTGCAGAACAGCCTCTGGAGGGTTCTGGCAGGGAAACATCCTGCCTGATTCATCCCAAACCTTGGAAAGCTCATTTTATCTCAGAGGCTCAGAAAACAGACTCCTGTCAGCTGAGAGCCTGGAGCAGGGCAGCTCACATTTTAGCTCACTGGAGAGTGTTAATTATCATTATTATCCAGCTCTAATGGGTTTCCATGAGACATCACATAATGGGCTCACTGGAATTGCACCAGTTCACAGCAGAGCTGGATCAGGAATCAGGAGGAACCTCCCAGCAGGTTGGTTTTTAGCCTGTGAAACGATAAAATCAGGGAAAATCTCCCTTTGTGAACTGGATGAGCTTAACCACACCTGTAACACACAGGAGGGAATCCCTTGGAGCAGTGACATAGACTTTAAATGGATTAAAACTAAACAGTTAAATAGATTTTATATTTCCATGCCCTTGCATCTGACACGGAGCAGTTAAATAGATTTTTTTATATTTCTGTGTCCTTGTATCTGACTTAATTAAGCAGTAACAGGTTTGGAAAATGATCTCCCTGCCAGTATCTCTTTCAGTTCCTTAAAATCCTTGTTTTCCAGTTGTCTTCCCTGCGCTTTGCCACCAGGATGAGGTGGATCATGGCAGAGCCAGTTGCCAACGTGACGTTTGAGCAGGAGGTAAGGAAAGAAGGGGAATGGAGGAAGGAATTTTTGCTCAAATTCATTAATATTTAGGGTAATAACCTTAAAAACCAGAGGAAAATTAGGTAGTTCCGTAAGTCATCCCTTCTCAGCCAAGCTGACATTGCTAATTTTAGGTGGATGATAAAATGGATTAATATTAAACATTTTAAATAGGTATCCAGTTAGCTGAGAGGGAACAGCCAGGCAGTGACATGTGGAAATTTTTTCAGCTGCATGTGAATCTTTTTCTGATAAGATTCACCTCTCAACAGAGATATTTTATTGTGAATTACTCCCCTGACATGGGGGGAAATCACCCCAGTCCTACCTGCAGCTTTACACGGCGTTATCCCCATTCCTGCTGGTGAAGTAACATCTTTTCCACAACTGGGAAAACTTGGTTAAACAAGGAAATAATTTAAAGAATTATTTAAAGAATAATTTAAGGACAAGGATCACAGGATTTTAGGTGTCCTGAGGGTACTTCCACAGCTGGAGGAGTGGAAAAAACCAAACCAGAGGAGCTGAAATTGGAGTGTTTAAGGAACCTTTGTGCTTTGATGCTTCACAGGTCCCTTCAAAACAGTGTCCAGTTCTCCCTGAATCCCAAGGTTTGGGTACTCACACCTTTCTGGAAACACATTTTAAAGAGTGAATCCCTGAAGGTATTCCAGGTTCTGGAACCATTCAGTCCAACCCAGGCCAGGAGGCTCCCTCCTCTGTCCCAGTGGGGTCAGAGCTGCTCACTTCTGCTTGGCTTCCCACATAATATCCCAGAATCTGGAACTTGCTGATCCCTACAATGCCAGATCAGGAAATCATCACATTAAAAAGCAGGTGGCCCTTCTTTTGATGGCTTAAGGAGACTCTGCAGGACAGAAACTGTCCTGCTGGGAGCTAATCAAGGGCAAAATGTGTTCCAGACCCACCAATTCCCTCTGCAAACCCTGAGGGAGCTGCTATCCAGCTGGGATATCCTCCAGCAGCCAGTTCTGTGCTGCTTTTAGGGTTTTTTTTCCCCTCTCCAATATAATTTAGTGATTTGCTCACCCTTTTTTTCCCTGTTAGGTGTCAGTGAAGGCTCTGGAGGAGGAGATTGATCTCCTGAAGCACGAACTGACCATGAAGGACATGTTTGTAAGGATCAGTTAACTCAGTGTCCAGTGGGATTGGATTCTTCCTTCTGCTTCCAACACCATCTTTTGGGGTTTAGGGGAAGCTCTGAAAATCCCACACAGGGAGGTTTTGTTGTAACAAAAAACAAAGAGATGTTTTTTTAAGGCTCTTGAAGCCCTTCTGTTGCTGGTTGGAATGGGAAGGGGAATGTTTGCTTCCCAAATCCCATCACCTGCCAAGTCAGGTGATGAGAATCCCAATCAGAAATGGGCACAGTAATGTCAGGTGTTTGCCAGACTGGTGGAATTCCAGAGTTCCAGACTGGTTTGGGTTGGAAGGGACCTTAAGGATCATCCAGTGCCACCCCCTGCCATGGGCAGGGACACCTTCCACTAGCCCAGGTTGCTCCAAGCCCCATCCAACCTGGCCTGGAACAGTTCCAGCTTCTCAGGACAACCTGTACCACCCTCCCAGAGAAGAATTCCTTCCTTAAATCCACTGTGAATCTCCCCCCTTTTAGTTTCAAACCCTCCCCCCTTGTCCCACCCCGGCAGGCCCTGCTGAAAGCTTTGTCTCCATCGTTCTCCTCTCCCCCCCACCTGTTTGTAACTCCCTGATCCTCAGTTTTCCACATTTTTCCCTTAGGAAAATCGTTTGGTGACTTACAGCCCCCTGACTGGTGCCCAGAGAGCAGCAATTAAATCCCAAGTCCACAAATACCTCAGAGGAGACATTGAGGAGATCGATGTAAGTGGCTTTTTGGTGAAAAAGGACTGAAATATTGATTCCATCCCATTTTCCTCCAGGAAGACACAATAAAAGTGTCTTCTGAAGAGGCTTTTTTTTTCCACCCCAAAGCACTACAGAACTGTAATTTAACTCCTTTTTTACACGTTAGGGACTGTCTCCATGTTTTGGAAGCTTGAGGACAATTTTCCTCAGTCCTAAAACCCTTTAAATTGGTTTATTTGGAACTTCTTTAAAGAATGAATACCAACATTGTTGGATTTTTGCCTCTCTTCCTCAGATAGTGAACATCAGGCAAATCCAGGAGGTGTTTAAACAGTTCAAAGCGATTATAAGGTAAGATCATGGGATTCCAGGATGGTTTGGGATGGAAGGACCTTAAAGCTCATCCAGTTCCACCCCTGCCATGGGCAGGGACACCTTCCACAGGTTGCTCCAAGCCCCTTCCAGCCTGGATTAAAGGTTAAAATAAGGTGATGGGAATGAGCAGAGTTAATGTGATTTAATCTGGATCACAGTTGTGGAAAGTATAAAAATACCCATCAAAAAGCTTCAATATCCAGGAGGCCTGAAGGGAAGTCATGGAAAAAGAGAGGAAGAGAGTGGATAAAGATTCTGATGGCTGTGGGAAGCGTGGAGGGGGAGGGTGGGGTGTTTGGGGGTGAGACCAAGGGGAAAAGGGGGTTTTCTTTGGAAATCTGATGCTGGCAGGATCACAGGTTTTCCCATGTGGAATGTGATGCTTCAGGAGCTGTTTTCTCCCCCAGTCAACAGGAGAAGGACATAGAGGCCAAGTTACAGAGCAAATACCTGCTGGGAGACAGGGGGGAGTCCAAGGCTGACTTTGGGTCTGAGGTTGGTGAGGAGGTGGAAGATGAGGAGGAAGAGGACAAGGAGAAGAAGCATAAGGTAATGCCTGGCCCAGAATCCACCTTAGAACTGGCTACTGTGCTGCCAAAATGGGATTTGCCTCAAGTTCAGCTTTTCCCTGTCAAAATCAAACTGAGAAATGATCCTGGGATGGGTTGGGCAAAAATGTGTGCAGTGCAGAGGTGCACCAGTTAATGAAGAGGAATTCCTGTCAGCAGAGGGT